CGCGTTGTATGCTCAGACGGAACAGGCGGAGGGCGTTGGTGAATCCTGGAGAGAGCTTATTAAAGCCGTCTGGTAGATACTGTCTAGCTCAGTGGTCACAAATCTGAGTTGGCCTACTAATTTGATTTCTGAATTCGGTCGCCACAAATGCTAGTTGTGGTCATGACGATGACAACCGTCATGACGCTCAGGCCATATCGGAGATGCGCTCCGCGATGATTCGTTCTGTTGCCTGGGCCGTCCTTGGGCTGCGCCAGCTACGGGGAGCGAACGAAGAACCACTCGTCTCCTTTGGCTTTCAAGCAGGGAATCGTTTCGCGTCAGCTATACCAGCTCGGATGGGTCGAGTTCCAGCAAGGATTTCTTCGCGCGCGAAACAAGTGACGGCGACTTAGCGCCGTTCAGATCAATCGCTCCAAAAGTCACCTGTATGATGGTGGTCATCGCGACTTTGAAATGTCAGGGACTCTGACGAAATCGGTCGATACGAAACAGCAGAGGTCATGGCCGACCCCTCGAGAGGTAGAGAGTCGGGCTGCTCCGGCCGATCGACGGATTTTTGGAGGGAAATGAATCTCGATTTGCAATACTTGTCGATTCGAGGATGCGCGAACGATGATTGAAGAGCGCGAGGGTCCAACATGCTTCCAAGGACTGATGCTCTGCGAAACCTTACATGGCGAAAGTAAAACCCCCGGAGTCAGAGGTGTGCGATTCATGTTTTCAAATCTACCTGGTTGATAGTATCTGAATCAGAAGGCGGCCACTGGAGAAGTGTCTCGCTCCCTCGTTGGGATACTCTCTCCTGGCTCTTGGCGAGAGTTTCAGAGAAATATGTACATCTATGAGATAGAGCGAAATGCCAATCAATAAGCTTGAGCATAAAATTACCTGCTTCTCCAGCAAGCTGTGGGTCTCCTCGCGGTCATCTGCCGCTTTATTCGCGGACAAATGATACCGCGGAATCCGTTTGGAAACTTCATATTGATAGGAAGTTTTGCGAACATACCACCTCCTTTCCACGAGGCGGGTTATTTCACACGATCCTTCCGAAGCCAGTTTTTAGAGGACTGAGAGAGCTATTCCTTTGTACAGCATAGCCTGATTGGTCTCGCTGTCACTCATTCCGAACTCTGTCTTCGCCATACTCCGGGAAAATCGAAAGAAACGAGAGAGACGAGGAGGATAACGGTGTTCTCTTTCCTTGCCTCGATGCGATCGTAATCGAGAAGATTCATTCTGCCCGGCTGTTAGCGCACAGAAAGCGCTTCGGAGAAGAAGCTGTTGAGAGTCTCCCTCCGAACTTCTCGGTTTTTGCAATAGGTTGGCCCTGTCTATGCCCCGTAGTGAGCGGCAAGGAGCCGCCTCCCTCTGAAAGTTTCTTTACTCCCCCATACTGCAGATGAAGCAGCTGAAAAAGTATCGGAGACTTGTGGGCAGCCAAGAGGAGACACACACGAAAGTTTATAGTGCTCGAGTTGGGGAAATGAACCTTCCACGCTACGAGCGGCTGGAAATTCGCTTCAGATAATTTCTTCATTCTGTGTATATATCCAGGTGCTACTGTCATCCAGAAGCGGAGGAGCTAGCGATGGCCAGGCAAATCTTGGACTGTCGTACAACATCGTTAATTCCCTCGCTACTAAAAGAGGGCTCGTTCCCTTTGAATTCACTTTATGACGATTCGCGAAAAGCGGCGAGGCCATCCTAGCGCAAGCCGGCCGAGGACTTTTGTGTACCTCGATCGATCCCGCAGACAGATCGAGGAATTACAATTCAATTCGGAAGACGAGTCCATCAACATTCGGGGCGACAAGGCCTCCTGAGTCGCGCGCCTCGAGCAGGCGGGGATAACAGCCTTCGATTGAAGCCTCATCGACTGGAGGAGACAATTGCCATTCGATCCAGTCGTTGCACATGACGGCTATCAGCGAAATCGATCTTCAGAACTGCCAAATCGACTTCAGGAATCGACCGATGGCTCCCGATTACAGGATGTCGGCTGACCGTCCGGGATATGTCTCGATTATCGTGATGGAAATCTTCCTCAGCTCATATGGAACGCCGGTTCCGCAAAAAGCCTAACCACTAAGAGAAACTCTCGGGCTCGAAGTGCAAGAAACTCCAACCTCCCGAAGTTGCAGTGAGAGTTCGCATTGAGTTGCAAGTATAGCCTCAATGAAAAAAAAGATGGACAGGAGACGTCACATTCAATCCAGCGAGTGGAGTGATAAAAGAAAAACGACAGTAGAGCAGGGGAAAAACGAGAAGATGTTTCCCGCCCTCTCGAACTTCGTCTCCAACGGTCGCATCGTCGGTCGCAGTGAGAGAAGTCGAATCCTTCCTCGCACAGGTGGAGATACCTGACAGAATAGGGAGTGCCGAATGCTTTCCTATGGCTTTTGGTTCGTTCATTGATTCGTCTGACGCTCCTCCGACGACTAAACCTTCTCCTGGCATCCATTTCTCCACGAAACATCTCGGGAGCTGCGTTGAATGCCATCCTCGAGGAAGAGGTGAATATTCTTCCGTCAGTCGTCGAGATCCTGCTTTTTCAGTGAAAAAAATCAATGCCGGGCAGATATGCAGGAATCATGTCACCCAAGGATAACATGACCATGGGAATAACGATCCGCGAGAGAGCGCCGATTCTGCCGAATCGTTGCCCGGACTCGAGCATCGAATAGCTCCGTGAACGCCTCAGTGCAAACTTCGGAAACCGCTTCCCCAAACAAGCACTTCGTCTTTCTAGAGCGAAGCCCATTGCTTATGTCTCTACCGTTAGTGGTAGAACAACGGGAGAGGGAGCCGATTCGATTCTGGTCAAAATGACTCCACGACTACTTCTAACGAGTCCGCGGACATCGTCTCGAGCACGATGCCAGGACTTGCTTTCCGCAGAGAATATGTTTTCAGCATCCTGTCGCTAGTTGAGATGGCTTGCGGCAATTCGCGACAGGCTCGCGACTGAGACGGAGCTCGACGAAAATATCAGAGAAAGAACCGATATGGAGGAAGGAAATCTCGATGCTCGACATCTTGCTTGAGGTTATTGTCGTTGCCTTGCTTGTTGGTCCAGGTCAATGTTGTTTCAGCAGCCGTCGATGATGTTCTCGTCAGTGACGTCGATCCTGTCGTCGCATTTGTTATTGTTGTTGCGTAGTCACCCGTACCCCGTCGAATAAATGCGTGATCTTGGCTGGATGACGCAGGTGATTTTCCATGAGTGCTCCCAATGGAGTGATCTGAGTGAAGCTGGAGGCAAGACGCAATGAAAAATTCACCGTTGTGAAACCATCCAGGAAGCGCACACGAACTCTTAAGGAATTAAATTGTTCCGACACACTCACGAATTGCCACGAGCCTAACCCATCGGTGCTGATGAAACGTTCGCAGTTCCCTCAGGGTTTCCCGCTCATTTAGATGAATGCGAATGGCGGAGCTTGCTCCGGACAGGAGTTCCGAGACTAGTTCTTTGAACCCTGGAGGAGCGTTCTTCCGTGCACTGTGGCACTTGAGCTTGAAGCCATCTCCGAATTGAGATGAGCAGGATCAACATATCGGTGGATGAGCGCTTGCGTCACAGAAACCCGTCTCGGTCTTCTGGCTGGCGTTATCCCCTCGCGGAATTTCCGCGAGTGGTGATTCTTCTAGGAAGCAGAAATAGCCGCCGACGGCGCGATTCACTTCCCGAAGAACTGGAAGGACACCAAGCCGTCTCTGCGGATTCCAACGATACCAATCTAGGCTGCCCGCGGTCGTGAAAAAAAAAACCAATGGTGCGAGCGGGATAGCGTGGGCCGACATGGGTCCTTATTTCTTGCCTGAGCACTGTAGGCTTGAAGTTTGGCGTCTCAGAGCTCGGACTACGTACGAATGATGTAGTATGAACCACCCAACTCCCTACGTGTCGGAGCATAACCACGCTGGAATATTTACGCAAACGTGGTCGTTCGCTCCCAGTTGTCCCAGCTCGTTCATCCGGCAACAATACGGCCGCGTTTTGGGACGAATCCACGCCTGGTCGCTGAGGCGCATCCGCCGGTATCTCCAGATATAAATATCTGCCTACCTACGTGCGCATTCATCCAGGTTCTTCCAGACCGTTGACGCTCGGATACTTCGACCCATCTCCCGAAATATGAAAGCATATGGTTTCAGGGAGCCAGTGCAAGACTTCGGATGGTTCGAGTTCTGCCGAGTCGGAGTCGAGACTGACCTCAAACAATTCGTGTAAAAGTGTCCTCTGTGTGCTCCCCAATTTTCTGAGTTTTTTCCCTGCTTGATCTCTCACTCAGAACGGGTGTCACGTCTTGTCGTGGACCGGGGAATGGTGGACGTCTCACTCACCCGTAGCCTCACTCGGCTGGTCGGTTCGCCACGGAGTCAGTCTGACCGTTCATCCGTCTGTCTGTCAGGCACTCTGTTATTCAGTCGAGGCGACATAATTTTCCCGGAGACGCGACCGCGAGAACGACTCGACGGCGGGCGGAAATTAAGCAGGGAACAAAAAATCTTCCGAAGAGAGGGGAAACCGAGACCGAATAAGATGACGACCGGGAGAAGAGCCCTGGACTGGCCGCTGTAGCGGGCAGTAGAGCAAGCACGCGAGCAAGGGTCCCACTTTCTCTGTCCCTCCGTCGCTCCGCCTCGCCACTACTGTTTCTCGAGCCTAATGGACGAGTCACGTGAATTAAGTGGGTCCTGTGCAAACCGACGGACGGTCGCCTTCGCGCACTTCTTGTGCGTGCTCGACTCCGCGTCCCAGTTTCCGATTGGGTGAGCTCAATCCGTGGGCTATAAGAAGCGAGGATGACTGAATGAGTAATTGATCGGATGCCAAATAACGCATAGTATACATACATGGTGGACAGTTCGAGAGGTTGCAATTCTGCAACACTTCCGACGTTTCCGCGTTCCCGTTCCTGAGGCGGAAAGTTTGCCTCCGTCGAATAACTCATTAGGAACAGCCGTCGCCGTAGTTCGCGAGAGGGCATCAGGTTGTTATGAAGTTTTTCGCACTGATTGTGAGACATGTCCCAGAGTCGCGCGTGGAAGGAGAAACACCTTGTAGTGAATGGAGCTCAAGGCTCGTAGTTTTAGCGCAATCCTTCATTTGGGCAGCGCCAGCAGCCATTCTCAAGGAGCCTTGGTGGACGTCCGTGCGGGGAGCATAGATTACGACGAAGCACCTCGGAGAATTCGGGAAAGTGGAGCACAGAGACATGGGGACCAGGAACTTTCTGAGTGTGTCCGCTAGTTTTTATAGGAATTTTTCCTCCCGGATTTGCTCGGACACGCTCACGAAATACCAAGCAAGCAAAAATTCTCTGGCGTCTCGTAGGGTGTACCTCCTCGGCTCGGTGGAGGAACTTCATCAGAGGGGAAGAGCTCGAGAGCCTCCCTGAAGTTCTGTGGGCTGGTTCCTCCTCCTGTTCTCTCCCTGCGTAAAAAGGCGCACAGTATCATGAGGAATATCTCCTTTTCTCGCACCCTCGATGACCAATCATCAGGGTTCGACGTGGGAAGATTCGACTCGAACGTGTTTCCCGAAAGTTGGCGGCAGGCATACGAGATCCTCACTGGGTCATAAACTCCGGAAAGAAGTTCCAGCGAGGCTCCCAAGCCCCAGCCCGGGAACACCGCCGCCACAGACCACAGTAGTGCTCATTCCAGAGGATGCACCATGGGATCATTGATCTGGATAGCTGACATACGGCCACGGAGGCGCGTTCGTCCCTAACCGTATAGACCGATGGTCGCCGGCGCTAAACCTCTGACGCGCCACGAACTGAGGGGAAAATCAATGTTGGTCCTCTGGTTTCCCCGCTCAATCGCGGCTTTCCGTAAAAAAGATCGAGCGATCGATTCCTTGCATCAGGAAATAGCGGATTCATGATGTCCAGGGGCTGCGATGGACTGTCTGACCTAATCATAGACCATGATTCAATCCGGTCGCAACCATAAAATTCTCGCTTCATCGCAGGAATTTGAAAAAGTGATACTACCGGAGCCGGTCGAAGGTTCCCCATTCCGAGTGTTCAACGTGGGACGCGGACTAGCGGGCAGAGAGAGTCTTGAAAATAAAAGTCTCGGGCACGCTGTTCTTGGACAAGTTTTTCCCTTTCTTCCATTTTCATCCCGTTTTCATTTTCTTCCGATGAGTATATTCTTGGCAGTGGAGGATCGAGGGATCGAGCTGAATACAGGACATCATCTCGACGAAAGAACGACCGAAACGCCGTCACGAGCGATAACCCTCGTTGATTGTCGATTTTCGCTCCATCAGAATATTGTCAATCGAGACCTAGCCGGAGGATCCGCGAGCGAGGTATCTTATCTCGGAGGAGATTTTCCGCAATGGAGTCGAGATCGCAGATGCCGATTCGGCTGACGGCAATCGCTCTACTCTCGCCTCCGCTCGACTGGCGTTGCTCTCAGCTGTTCTATTTTGAGACCGCATCACGCGAAAGCCGCAGAATCGAGACAGAGCGAGGGGACGAGTGTGAACTAGAGGCTGATCGGGAACGATGGGGAAAGTTGACCTCATGAAGTGGCACGACTCGGACCGCCACGGGCATACAACACGTTCGTCATCGTGATTTCGGCTCTTTCTCCCCGATTGTCGTTGGTCGGCGACGAAGGTAGACTCAGACTCAAAGGTTCGACTGTCCATAAGGTTTCAAAAGTAGATATCCCGGATTCCCTTGTAGGTTTGACTTGAGACAGCACGGAGGCACCCGCTGATCCTGTTCGGCAGTCTAGACGGACCTTCCCAATGGAACCCTCGCCGAACGAGGTTTCGATCCGCAGCATTGGCGACTTTTCACGGATAGAGACCGCAGTCGGCGCTGTTGGGGGGAGAATATCGAGATGAGGCTCCGACTAGAGCAGCTTCAGCCGCGCTACAACTTTGTCGTCTCATCGACTATCGAAAACTCACCGAGTTGATCATCCGAGGTGTTCGAGGTCGGCCTGGCTTCAGGGGAAAAATTCTCCAATGCCGAAGAGCGTCGGGGTGCCCCCTAGACTGCGGCGAGTATCCGCCCCTCCCCCCTCCCAGAATGAATCCCTTGCAATGACGGCCCAGTCATTTGGGTTATACAAGGACAGTATGTTGTTCGCCTCCTGCAAAGCAGAACACCAGCAGCTTGTGCTGTTCCAGTGGCCTCAGATGACGTATGTGTGTATACTCTACACCGGGGAGACGCGTTAGGTATATCGTAGACCGATCCCGTTTTTTTTCCGATCTCGCACAGCCTCGAGAATCATTCGGTGCTCCGAATTGGTCGGATACCTCTACGTCCTCGATATTGTGGGAGAGACTGGGGGGGGGGGGTTACGAATTCCGCGTCATGCTCATTCTGAGAGAGCGATGTACATACACGGTCCAAGATCGAGCGCAGGCGATCTCAGGTAGCAGACGAGCCAACAGGCACGGGCCCAGGTAAATAGGATGTAAGGGTAAGACGAAAGTCTCATTAGGCCGATGCGAAACACAATAAGTCCAAGTCTGACAGATGTAAGCTCGCTCCGGGCGAGCATTTCCGAGACCCGCGAGAGATCCGGAAAGAGAGGGAACTTTCCTGGCAGTTGTTTTGATATATCTAAATTAGACCCGGCTTCGCAAACTCTTTATATCTCTAGCGGCCTTAGAACGAGACAGACGAGGGACGATGCGTCATCCGAGCGGGATTCCTTCGAGTGAGAGCGCTTCCCAAGTTCCGCGGCGTTTGTCGGATTAGTTTAAACGATGTGTGCGAGGAGGTCAGATTCTCTCGCTCGTAGTTGGAGCGATTCCATGCTCTGGATTTTTCAGCTGGATTCCCAAATCTTCAAAAATCTTTTCAGAGGCGAAGAGAATCTTCGCTATTCGGGCTGTAGATAGGTCATGGAATCGTAGTGGTAGGTAGTGCTCAGAGGAGTCCAGCGGATACTTTCTGGAATGGGGCCCATAACGTTTTTGATCTCCATCGAGGATCCCGAGCCTCGGCATCAAGCCGTCGTTACCGCCTACGCGGTCCTCATGAAGCTGCTGACATCGCGTCGATGCCTCGCAGCACACTTCCTCCCATCAAGTCGTTCCGGATGGAAATCTCCGGATTATCACAGGTTGAGTCAATCGAGGAGATCATCGTGACGAGGAAGCGGAGGCGAGCGGTCCCTTCCCTCCCTTCGTCACGTCATCTCCTCGAGTCTCTAGCCGACGCAGCTCAATTACGAGTTCTTCGTCACACAGATCGATCGTCTGGTCAATCGCGTGAGTTTCTTGCTCCGAGCGCTCGACGAAAGACAGTTTCAAAAATTCTCGAACAGAGACCTACGCCCGCCGTCGCGCCTCCAAAGTAGCTGACGTGCTTCTAGTCCACATGCGCCGTGACCTGCCGCATACCAACGAATCCTGGTGTCTGTCTGACACCGAATACATGCCTGGAATGGTGAAACACTTTACCGGCTAGGCCTCTGTGGAACACGCTATGAGTCACCTGTAGGCCGGGCAACATTGAAAACCTTTCAGCACGCCGAACAAGCGGGCCTAATGCAAGGAGTTTGCGGCTTGCGGTGCAGCTGAGGGAATTCCGCTCGGAGAGAAGGGAAGTGTTCTGTGAATCAAAGAAGCTCACCAGCGTATATTACGCCAACGAGCTTCGTCTTCCCGATGCGAATAAGCTCCGTCACGTAGAAAGCGTTCCGGAGTAATCACTTCAGCAACGACCCGATACCCGCGACTGCATGAGCCGGAAGAGTGTTGCGCCTCTCCATCTGAGACTAGGCTGTCAATCTCTCAACCAACGCGTGCTCGTGGGGGAAATCTCTCCCCAGCTCAGCGGCAAGGTCTATTTGAGTGAGAGAGACGCTCCTCGAGGCCCGGGAGAAGATTATCGTTTAGAGGTCCCATGAATCCCACACCGATCGTGCGTCGGATGGGGGCATATTCAATCATTGTTGGAGAATGAGCAATGTTTACACAGCTTGTCAGATACGCTGCGGAGCCGCGGCGAGCTTCAAGGTTTACTGAAAGTCGCTTCCCGGTCATCGCGTCCCGGGATCGGTTGTCCCGTGGGAACAACTTCCTCAACGGATAGGCGTATTTCGGGAGGGACGCTCCCTTTCCCTGATTCGTTGAGTTACGCAGAAGTTCCTGGAAAATCCGTGGGTCGTCGATTTTTCCTCCGGCCGCGCTACGTTGCATATTGTCGGGGAAGCACCGCTCCTGATTTCGTTTCCCTTTGCGATGATCATAATGAGGAGTGGCGTCCTCGTCGGGGAGCGATCCGAACGGAAAAACTCATAGCACGTTCACGTTCGGGCAGCTGTAAACTCTCGCTCCGAGAGACTCACCTGTCGATTCACCTTCCGGATGTTCTTCACGAGAAGGGGGAATTGCGTCGTTTGCAGCTATCGGATGATTGCGACGTGGAAGTTTTACGAGCAGAGAACATACAACTGTGGCATTTGTGGCCTCTGACGCCGCGAGCAAAGAAGGACGCTTGGTCGCTAGCCGCACAGCGGTGATTTCACGCGGTCCAAATAGGGTGGGAGCGACCGAAAGGTGCTAGAGGCTCCTGGGCAGAACTTGTTCAGATCGGAAAACGTCAAGCCGAGCCCGAGCGCGATCCCGAAACTATTAGGAGCTATTCCCGACCGCTAATTTGTTCGATGAATACCGCCACGGAAAGGGTGACGATCACTATTAGGAGTCATTCGTGAGACGAGAGGCACGGAGCAGTGTGTCGGAGAATTCTCGGGAAGTGTGGACTCGCGTACGGATCTCGAGGTAGAATATCTAGAGACATACCACAGAACCGGATTGGTTGAGTCTGTGTCGAGCTCCTCTCTCCCGCGCTCTCCTACCGCGTCGGGGAATCTGTGTCTCCAAGATGGATCGGACGCATCCGACATCGATTCCCGCAGAAATTATCATTTGACGTAGCAACCGGATTTATCTCCTTTCCCTTACCTCGACGAAACCACCGACAAAGTGGTTTAGATCCACGTTCTTCCATCCAGGTTTTGAAAATCACAATGGTGCAACATCTTAAGCCCATCTGGGAAGCATGTTACTCTTTCAGAAGAGATATCTATTTTCGGAAAGATTCCAAAAGACTCTCGCACAATTAGTTCACGTCGATGTCGTCTCTCCGTCCAATTCCCGGCTAACGCCCGGTCGCTCTCCGATTCTCTAGTCCGGCGTGTTCCAAAAGTTCTTTCCCATGCCCTATCTGAATGTTGATCCAGGCAGCACTGTTCTTCGGCCCCCATAGGCCCCCCATTTAGAGTGAGGGGGGTGGGGGATTATCTGACGCCCTGCCGGTGAGGCGTACGCTTTTTTTCAGAGACCACTGCCCTCGTCCTTTACGATCGGCTAGTTGTTTGCTTAGCGATGGATTAGCCAGGCCACTGACACGCACTTGTCAGTGCTTACCCCTTCGAGGCCATAATTCAAGGCCAATGCGAGACAACTCGACAGTCACGTTGTGGTGAGTCATTGCGGCAACACCGGGCGACAAGCGAATTCGTTTGTACGGGTGCGTCGCAGGATCCGATCACTCGATCTGCGCCCACGTCTTCATCCGCTTTCCGTGTCGGAGATGCACTCAGCAAACTCCCGGAATATTTTCTTTCTCGATCGCGCGATTCCTTGACTAAATTGACGAATCAGATATTTCCAGCTATGCTTTGCTGGGTAGTTAGACTCGCGGAAAATATCTTTATGTAGGAACTTACTGAGCAATACATATCCCTGTGAGCCTGTTATTGAGCCTTCGTGAGCTTTCGCGGAGCGCTCTTCCAAGGAACACTGCGCACAGCGTTCGTAGCCCACCTTACGTCATAAAACCAGTATTGGGAGCTCTCCGAGCCCAGATCGGGAGAGGATATTAATCCACTCGAACGAGCACACAAATAAAATAATTCCAATCAGACATTCTGCCAGGTGGACTCGGGGGTCGAGAGGAATATCCCTCCGATTCCCGCGGTATCCCTGCAGTCACGGCAGCAGCTGGCGACAGCTCTTGTTTTTGACTCGAGCTTTCGATATTAAGGGTCTTCCGCCGATGTTGACCACGCGGAATGCGGAGCTTTCTCCCTCCTTTCTCCATCCCGGAGGTCGCTCAGAGCTCGGCTCTTCGGGCTTTGGACAGTCAGACCTACCGAAAGCGCTCCTCCCGCCGGAAGATCGCTGATATCTTCATTCCTGGACGAGAGAGACACTGCCATTTCTCGGCTCCCGACTCGGTTCCATCGGCCTCCGGAGGAGCCGGCAGAGAACGCATGCGAGAGCCTGGGCAGTCATCGCGCGAGTGTCGAGAAGCGAGGAACTTCAGAGCCTCAATACCGCTAGATTATTCACTGGGCCTCGAGGCGATGAGGAGATGTGCGGTGTTGTTGTTTTGCAACCTACGGCGCGGCGCTGCGACGAATGAAGCGGCATACATAGCTGAGGACTGCAGAGGCAGATAAGCGTGTGCAGCTGTTTTGGCTGCAAGCCCTCGCCTCGAATTCCTCTACCTGACAATGCTCGGGCGGCAAAGACGCGGAAACTGAGAAGACTCCGCAGAGCTCGACTTCGGTGCTCTCGGCGACACTTCCGAGGCTGGGAGACTCGGCTTCTAAGCATTCACGATAACCGAATTGCACGATGGGCGTTCTGACTCTCTCAATTTTTTTCCGTCGCGCGGACTCCAGACGAAAGGGTATCCGTCCTCCATTTGGACGATAAGAGGACGGGGGGGTAGCTGGGATAATTTCGTGACAGAATTGGAATCAGGAGCGTTGAAGATCGCCCTCGATGGAGGCGACTGAGTGAGCTCGCCCTAATATTCTCTGTTTGATAAGCCTCGACGAAGGAGCCGCGATAATCGATTTTGATGACGGTACTGCACCGAAAATCAAAACTCTTCTACCATGATGTAGATTCATCCATGAGGATTTCCTCAATGAGAGTGGGCTGATGCGGAGAATTCCTGGGGATCTCACCCGAAGAAAAAATTGGGTAATTTATTGTTCTCTTGCCGGGTCGACAAATATCTTATTGTTAGTGCTGTCCAAGTCCTGAGAAACTGCGCTCGCCGACTAAAGTGACTGAGAATTCCGGGAATCAGAACTTGCACTCTACTTTGGCTGAATCCACCGCAGGAGAAACAGGTAGGAGGAAAGCCCGTCCATTTGTTTCTCCCGCTGCAGATGTCGAAATCTTTTGGAACACCGACTACAAAGCCCGCGAGCGGGTTCCGGTTGCAATGGGACGTCGTTGGACCCCTGGCAGGCGGGACGAAAGCTAGAGCCGCTAAGATTGTCGAAATCTATTTATCAGCTAGATAGAAGAGGCGAAGGGAGAGGAAGATGGCAGGTAGATAGTTCTCGCTTGTCACGATCTAGAAGAGAATCGATCCGATCCCTGCAGAGGGAGCTTCTCCAGCTACCGAAGTCGGAAAGCGTTTCCGAAGGCTTCCTCTTCAGGGAGGAGAGAAGTCAGATGATGCGACGAACCACCGTGAATATTCCCACGAGAGGGCAGTCTGGACAGCTTCTTACGCAAGGGCGGTCTCCTTGGGATGGCCGCCTTCCACGGATAAGGAATGCAGGGCCTTGATCTGAGGGCACTGAAACCGGTAGAGGGAGCGGCTTTGACTCGAGGGCGAGGTGTCTGATTTTTTCCACTCGATCTTGATAGATTCAAGGGGACACGACGGGTAGCTCTCCCACTTGATACCAGAACACGCGTCTTCCCGCCACGGGGAGCCGATCGCATAGAGAGAACCCGGAAGCGTTCCAGATATCTAGAGGCGGACTATGCACGAATGATCCAGTGGAATGGGGAAAAAGTTCACCCTTCGCCGAGCTTGTATCTCTTTCATCCTCTCGCTGTTCGTGAGGAACCGCCATAAGCACAAGTAACAGGTTGTTACCGGAGCGAGAATAATGCCCATATTGGTGGGGAAGTCTGCGGCAAATGGAGCTCTAGTGACAATGGCCACCGCAACTGTGTTTTGCCCTGAGAACTACAACGACGCCTGCAACAAGGGAGTCGTGGGAGTCTTCCTGTAACCTACGGCCATGAGGCTCTCTGTGGTGCGAATATACTCACGCCCGGAGGCGCCCAAGCTCCGATCCCTAACGGATGATACCCATGCAGGTACCGCAGATGATTCCACTTTGTATCCATGCCAACAGGGTCCCTATTATACTTCCGGATTTCCCCTCGAGCTGGGCGATAACGATCAGATGCCGGGACACAATGGGGTTTTTCGATGTTTCACGTCCATTCTTGCATCAGAGAGCTTATCCGTTCCTGCGGCGCGAGTTTGGAGGGGGAGGGGCGATCGAGGAATTTTCCGAGAGCGCGATTGATCTCCCACGGTGCGAATGAGCAAGGTCCGTGTGCCGTGGGATGGCGTCGATAATCATTACTACCCCACGTCACGCATACGAAGACGCGTGCTCCCTCGCTTGTTCCTGTTTGCTTGTTCGCCGCTGTGATCATGCCCGAAAGCCCCGTCCCAGAAGAGAAATAGATACGACTCCCGTGGGTGCATGAGCTCAAATTCAAATATTGGAAATGAATGAACCAACTTCGGTCGCTTGACCCAAGTTACGGTGTCTCGTAAAAGTTACTGCACGTCTCCCGGCTCCTGGAGGCTCGAGCAGAAGACAGTCACTACGACAGAGCGTCGAATCGCGGAGAATTTCGCCGGTGACGGCTCGGACTGCGAGCCGCCAAACAGCCATTCCAGCTCCTGTCTCTTAGGTTTTTTCGTTTTACCTCTGCAAGACCTTTACGTCGGCCTTGGTCGTATTCAACGAGCGGGGACAGATAGAAGCTGAGATAGGCGAAGGTTCTCATGATTGCTTAACCTCTCCCGACTCGAGACGGCAGAGTGCGTTTTTCAAAAGAAAAAGATTAGAGGATGTCCCGAGGGATCAGCGGAGAACCGTTGAAAGCAAACAGATCGCTCCTCAATTTGATGCAGTTCCTTTTGATTGTAGCGGGGGATCCGGGGAGATGGCACTCGTAGACAACTGGCATCTCGGATTTGAATGCTTGATTCGGTCGCTCGAATTAATCGAGTTCGCCGCCGCGGAGGCCTCTGCTGATCAGTCGAAGCCAGAACACCGGCTCGGTTCAATCATCGGGGAAGCTTGGGGCTGGATGGACTCAATTCTCTGATTAGATCCTCGGGAACTAAGTCAGCAGAACAAGCCGGGACACCCTCGGTCATGAGTCATGAGTTTGTCGATGGTTGGGACCTCCAATCCAGATACTCCAAAGTGGAAACTCTGATCGAATCGTAGCTTGCGCCCTACTCGGCTAGGGGGTCGGATCGAGTGCGTGGGAAATTGAGTTCTACTTCTGTCGGAGCTCAAATTACAGTCATTTCGTCGCGAACGGAACCACGAACTGCGTTGCGTCAGCAACCTGCGGGAAGCGTTTATTTTATGAGGTCTCAATTTTGAAGCCGCTTTTTTTTTCTTGGTCGAGGGCGTTGGCGGGCCTAGTCGCAGATTAAATTCTCGAGCCGTATTTTCATCACGTTCGGATTTCGAGGAACCTCTTCCGATCCAACTTAAATATTTAAACATTGCGCAGTATGGTCTCCCACCGGAAAACGTCGAGCGTCTACGGGGGTATCGGGAGCTCATGGAATCTAATCTCTCGATAAGGCTTCGGAGAACCTCGGGGGAATCTTCCGCTCACTTCAGCGCGTTGACTCTGGACGGGACATCTGGATGCCTGACTGAAGTACAAACAGCGCTTGCGAAACCAGACGATGCCTCCCGGCGCACAAACATGATTCTGCGTTCCATGATGACACGCCGACTTTACTAATCGCTGAGCAAGCCTACCCGATTACGCTCGTCGTCCAATGGGAACAGATGGGATTTTCCGGGTCCCGTGCATAACCGCTCAACTGTTCTCTCATGAATGAATCGCTCTGAAATCGGGGAGAATGCGTAGCGAATGCTGAACTCTCCGAGGCCTTGTTTCGCGATCGGTCGTCGGTCGCGAGGAAATTCCGCTCTGGCCCCGGCGCTGGATTGGAAAGGTGCGCGGAAATTCTTCGGAGGAAGAAAAAGTGCACTCACGATTCGATACCTCTCCGAGCTCTGTACCATATTCGAGACTTCGTCAGATCAAAGGGAAACTTCCCGCTCTGATCTTTGACTCTCAGGACTCGTCCATGCCCTACCGGCATCGATCATATTTCGAAATGTTATTTGTTATTTGTCTGTCCTGACAGCCGGAATACTGCTTCAGTCGAAAAAATAGAATCACAGCGATTTTTTTGAAGACCACCCGAGCTGTCGACCCGAGCGCAAAAAGATTGCGAGCTAACGGCTTCATTTGGGAGCAATACCCATGATGAGAACAGTCCTCGCATCATCCCGAGGCTCCGGAGCTCTCTGGCTTGCAAAGCATTTTTCTTCCTTAAAATTCTGAAAAGCGCTGCGATGATTGATTGAGACCGGCTGTCATTCCACCATGAGTATACATACCTCCCAGGATGCTCTGAACTTCCCTCGATCGATGTTCTCGTTCATGGCGACGCTAGGCATAACTTTCGTTACCAATGTGAGTGATCGAAGAACATACCACGACGGGAGGAATCCGCCTGGGGAATTGGCAAGGTGACCAGCCGAACATATCTGCTAATCTCCCACCAATCTCTCATCGAGACCAGGAGCAGGATTCGTCTAGGAATGCCGTGCAAGCGCGAGATATCGAGAGCTGCGGTGTCGGTCCTGAATGTCCGGTGTTTGATCCGTCCGAATGAGGATCGAGCTGTGCTCGGATCCATTTCTATCAATAAGGTATTAGGATGACAGTCCGGGTCGACAGGGGTCTCCACTGCTCCCGTACCAGATCATGCGATCCCAGGCATTCAGTGCAATGCAGAAGTGATTCCCGATATGTCCCCACCAATGGTTTCTTGATCCGCGTGAACCGAAAGGAGACCGATCCCCGGAACGTTATCCGGAATTCTCAGGCGTATTTTCCCACAAATGAAGCTATACGGCCCCGCAACGCTAACAGTTTTCACACCGAGTTGCAACTCAGAATCGATTTAAGGTGGATCTGGGAAGCGCCGCATCTTGGCTTGCATCGAGAACTCATCAATCTTTCGGAAGCAGGGTCATGCATTTTGGAGAAAGCGATCTCGAGCCGGACTCATTCGAGCGTCTCTGGTCTCTCCTCGAAGTAAATACTCGAATCTTTTCTACGCGATCCGACTACGCCCGGTCTGCCAATGCTTTCGAATCGAAAATCGAGGAAATTATGGGCGCCGTTCGCTAGTCGTCCCGGGTCGAATGTTCCCTCGCGCGTCTCGCTCGATCCGAAAATGCTCTTACAAGCGGAGGCATTCGATGCGTCCATCTGACAATCACAAAGGCATCGAACTGACTCTGAGTGAGAACTCATATCTGGTTTCCCGACTTGTGTTCGGGGGGGCAGGCCAGAGACCGGCTTGTCGAGGAGACCTGCTCAGAGCGGATGTACCTGTTCAAGACCTCTTGCCTCGACGCAGCCGAAACGCCAGGTCTGAACTATGCGGGATGAGCGTTCGGAGGTTGGTAACCCCGAAAATATAAATTCGGTCTCGCGCTTGACCCGACTCCTTCGGATGGTTGACCGCTACTTCCCGAATGGAATCGCATGAATTCGGGATCAGGGAGGAGAAGTCACTCGCGGCTTCATCCCACGAATAAATTCGCCGAGCTGCGATTTTCGCGCAGGCCCCCGGTCCTCTTCCCGCGGTGTCGCGATCAGCGACTGCGTGGCAGTGCGTTCGGAACTAGTCACGGACGAATGCTTCCTTTCAGGACGAAAGAGCAACAAGGAGAAGCAGAGGGAGCTGTACGTGTCAATCTTCTGCCGCCCGAATCGTTACGGCGAAAAGGAAAACACATTCGGAACTAATAAATTCTCTTGGAACGACCTGTCGGCATTTATTACAGACCGAGGGGGAAAGATAGAGTTCGGCTCGGAAAGCCACCCATGGAACTCCGACGACGGAGGAGGACGGCACTTCCGATTGGCTCTGTTTGGACTCAAAACTTCGAAGAGCTCTCTTTGAATATCTGATAACTCGTCTTTCGAAATACGACGAAAGTTCGCTGATTGCTGAGGGCACCGAAGTTTCAAATTTCGTTTCCGCTCCTGACATCGCCGGCTGGCCTCTTTTGTCGCATGGATTGCAACGTTCCACTCGAGCAACGCCGAGATCACCGAGATTCTCGGCGAAGATTCCTACGACTAAGCAAATATGCAAAAATCGAGAAGACACAAGCGCTGTCTTGAAGTGTCCGCTGAGCCGGGCGAGTGGTAGGTTTCGCGTGACCGCCCTCCGCATCCATCCGGACCAAGATGGCCGCCCACAGTGCGCGAGTATCACCGTGTGCTCCCTGCTGCAACATCGTTAGCCGGTTCGTGTGAACTAACGGGGATTCGGTTCTCCTACAAGCCTTTTGAAGCCGATACTATGGCGAGCCAGTTGATGTTGGGCAAAGTGATTACGGCTGCAGTCAATAACTCAGTCAAAGTGCAGGTGACGCAGTACGTTCTGAACAAACACTTGATGTGCCATTTCAAGGAAAGAACTGACTACGAAGTGTTGGATGAAAAACTTCGAACGAAGCTCGGAGATTGGGTGCTTTTGGAGAAGTTGCCCGAGAAGCACAGTCTCACTATCGACTACAAAGTCAAGGACATCGTCTGGATGATGGGGAACATTATCGATCCCATAACCGGCAAGAAATGCGTGAAAACCGATTTCGAAGAAGATCTCGACCGGGAAGCTGAACTCATGGGAGGGAAACCCTTCCACCAGAGATTAGCCGAATTCAGAGCGAAGAAGGCAGAATAGTTTTTGTAAATTTAACTCCACCGTTGTACAGAGAATAAACTCAGTTCTTGCAATGTTGATTTTTTTAATTTCAAAAACACCAAGGTTCGAAACTCATGCACACGAACATATTACATAGTGGGCTCCCGTCCATTCTTATCCTCTTAATTATTGAGCACGGTCGATGGAATAGCCAGTCTTGCTGTTCGGAGTCCTGATCATTCTGCTGTTGAGCTCACCACGGACTTAGCAGCTCACCTAGTCCGGGCAAGAGGAAGGTTGAGGGGGGGGAGTAGGCGCTCAGACTCCCCTCTGACTGAAGCGGTACTCTCCCGTGCTGATGACGTGAAGTTTTCGGCAAATGCGTCTCGCAGCGGGGGAGCGACGCGAGCAAGGTTCTCACGTAGGTTGGAGCGATCCTTCAGAGAATAGTCCCGCGACACCGAAAGTACATTTAGGCTGAGCGCAGAGAAGAGCGTATACTCGCCGTCCTTGTTCAGCCAATCCATACACGACCTCGAGTTTTGGAATAGCGTAGTTGCCGATCGCGTTCAAGGCCGCCCTTTCGGAACAACGGAGGTGCTCGGCCGCAAGATCAGTCCTGAGATCTTTCGTGGACGATCGATTGCTCCATTTTTAGAAGCGGTCCCACGTCAACTCCGGGCGCATGCTGGGTCGAGAGGCTGCCGGTTTCGAAAAACACCGATAAGAAGGACAAGCTCCGCATTAGCGTCGAGTTTTCAGATCTTCCGTTTTTCGAGCTCGGGAAAAAAGTTCTCCGTGCAGGAAAGTTCGACTCGAGACTCCTCAAGCAAGAAGCCATTGATCGACTACTCGGATATAGCGTTTCCGGATCCAATGAGCTGGTTTGCGCTCGAGCTTCGATTTTCCAAATTCAAATTGCGGAGAAATTCTCCGCCTGAATTTGGTCCATCCGAGGCTCCGTACGCGGAAGGAGAGATCATGCGTCCTCGAGCGGACACTTCGGGAGTTTTTCTGTGCTTTCGTGCTTCCGCTCGATCTTCGCTAGAGAATCCGAGCGTATTGAGCCTTGCAGAACCAGCTGCTTGCATCGGAGCCAGGCCTATCGTAGCCAGAAGATAGGGACATTGTTGAAAGCGCTGGGATCCAAGTCCGTCACATTTGAAGCTACTACGTGACACATCCCCGTCGGAATGGGGTTGCTTCCCTGGAACAAGGTGGTTCGAAACGAGGAGGGACGTCCGGTGCATTATTAACGGCCACTCCATGTCCCCAGGAAGGTTCCCGGATGAGGCAGAGACCGCCTACGGATAAGTAAGAGCTCCCTTAACACCTGAAAGAGCATGGCTACTCGTAATGAATATCTTACAAAGCTAGTCTTTTGCCAGACGGCATCCCGAAGCTAGGGATTCCGCCAAGGCCCAAAACGCGCGTAATGGAAAAATCATATCCCTTCTCGGTCGAGCAAGATCCCTCGCTTGCTTGAATAGCCACTGACGAAGACGTCGTGAGCGACTCAAGCTCATCGGTTTCTTAATTAACATCGAGACGCATTTTTCTCCATACACGATGTTATGTCCCGGGATCGATATATATTGTTGCTATTGGAGACGAGTCGCCATGCTGGAAAACGACCGCAAGCTTCGCTATTGTTCTCCGAATGCTCCTCAAGGGGTTTGCTATCCCAATCAGGGGAGAGTATGGGGAAATGGAACGATCAGGAAAGAGAGAAAATGGATGGAACTGCTGCAGGAGTCTCCCGATTTCGCAGCGACGGAGGCAGCGCTTGAGCTTCCGAGTTCTTGATCATCCTGTCCCTCCTCATTACGTCGGTACAAGAGGAGCTGCATGAACACATTAGTCTTTCATCATTGGGGTGCCCGTCGCCGACGGGGGATGAGATCTCTCCGGCCGTGTATACGATACGAGAACTTCCCCCCGCTGCCAGTTATTCTCAAAGATCATACCGCACTTCCATCGGAAGCATCCGTTGGAATCGGAAAGTCTCTGCGGCGAGCTCCCAACATAACCCTCGATTTGAGCCTTTCCCACAACGTTGCCTGCGATCAGAGAGGCTATAACGTTTACATTAGAAAATTGAGGGCGACAAGGAAATTCACCGATGAGTTTCCCACGATATAACGGCGCTGGCTATCAGAGCCTAACCAGCCCGGAGGCGAGAGTTTTCTTTCCGTTTCGGGAGAAGCTGCTGAGCAAATTCGGTTACAGGGTCCCCTGGCGCCGCGTCTTGGCTCTAACAAAACCCTTAGTGGGAATGAGAACGAATTGTTCGATCTGACGTGGCTCTCTTTCTTTCCTTGCAGTTACGGAGAAGGAGATCCGACAATGGCATAAGGGATTCGTGAAGGACTGTCCTTCGGGACATCTCACCGAACAAGGTTTCCTCCGAATTTACAAGCTGTTCTTCCCGAAAGGTGATCCTTCGAAATTCACATCGCTCATCTTCCGAGTCTTCGACGAGAACAAGGATGGCGCCATCGAATTCGAAGAGTTCATCCGAGCGCTTTCCGTCACATCCCGGGGAAACGTCGAGGAGAAACTTGACTGTGAGTTCCGTCAATCTTCCCGAGCTGAGCTCCGACTTGAGGAAGTGATCGCTCCGGACAGCATTTTCTTTGAATAATGATTCGGAGTTGTTCCCGATTTTCATAATATATTACATTTATGCATTCAGACGAATTGCACGGAATGAATGAATGATCGTTTTCCTGCATTGTCAGACGGTCTCGCGAATGACCCTGAACTCAGACTTGGGAAGTACGAAATCGAGCGGAAAGTTGGGGCTCCGAAACTCCTCTGCGTGAAGCATCGACCTGCGAATGGCTTCGGCCTCGATCAATCGTCCTCGAAATATCGCGGCGACTCTTGCTCGCAATCTTGACTCTGATGATAGCTTGCGCGTGAGAAACGACGGTTTGAGGATTGCGAAATCCTACGGGGGATCTCTCCCCAATTGAGGAACAAAGATCTCATTGGACGCTCAAAAGCTCGAACATCAGCTTCCCTTCGCTCATAATTCAACTCTGGATCGTGGGCGGATATCAGATTTTGACCTAGAGCTCTAGGATCTAGTCTCGTTCCCATCCGTTTTTGGGAGAAGATTGAGCTAAATTCCGATTGCTTTCGGATCGTATTTTATTCACCCTGCCGCGCCGCTACTTTCTCCGACCGCCGTTTGTTCACTGGGAGGAGACTTTCCAGAGGTCGACTTGAGGCCTACGAATCTCCGCTCGTTTCCACGCCAGGAGCTCTTTCCCTCCTATTCCCGAACCCCAGCTTGGGCGCCCCGAGCTCCAGTCGATTCTCGCGTTTGGCAAGCATTCCAGATCTCGAAGATAGGTAGCCAACACCAGGCTCGGAGATCCATGCTGATATCGAATGACGTACTCCTGTCGATCCACGGGTGCGATTTTCGCCCACGTGTTAGTGACATTCAGAGAAGTAGACAAGCTAGAAAAAACTACTCCCCGACTCTCCGCGACACGTAGAAGACAAGTTCCCGCGGACTACTGAGTTATGTCGGTGGGCCGTCGCTTGGAACTATAGTCTCGGGGGAAAACTTTGTTTCTCTCTCACACTCTGGTCTGCTCATTTTCTCGGGTTGCGGTAGCTGTCGCTAGCAGCCGTTCCCACTCTTGTCATTCTCGGGGCTTATTGAAGTCCGCATAGTTCTCCTCAATGACTCTCTCAATCCACTTGCTGTATTACGTCGGGTACTGGGAGGCTTAGCCCCAAGACTCGGATGTCTAATCTGATTATTCGGCGTACGTACTGGAGATCCTCGCGAGGAAATCGTGCGGCTTCTCAGCGATAGCCGTCTCGAATGCTGCACAGAGTGACTTTGCTCCCTTTGAAGTGTTCTTCCTCGAGCGACTCTCCTGAGCTCGATCCTCGCTCCTCCACAGCTCCTCTTTCGGCAGAGACGAGCCGTGCGGTCTCCATGTCACGCAGTGGTAGATCGAGTCCTACATCGAGCTCTAGCATTAATACATATGTATGTATGTGTGCGTGGATGCGGCCCGATGTTTTCATCGCGTTGGTCGCAAAACCTCATTATCCGTCATAGCTCATGAAACTCACGCAAGCGTGCTCATTGCGGGACCGGTCGGCGTATCGAGAAGGGGATTTCCGCAGATGCGATTTAAAATCTGAAAATTATGGTCGTCACGCATTCTGACGCGAATCTTCGATGGAGTTCCGCAAGCCTGTGCTGCCCCCGTGGATCATTCGCCGGAGGTGACACGGCAATCCCGCTCGGGTTGGCTCATAAGATTTTCCAAAAACGAAAATTCCGAGCACTCAAAAGGCCGAAGGCAATCATAAGGCGATGAGTTGCTGTGGAGTCTTTCAGTTCATCCCCGTCACTCTCGTCATCCCCGCGTGGCCTCGTTCCGCAGCTCCAGTGGCCTGGGCCTATACTCCAAATGCTCGATCACAGAGTCGCGGAAGTCTATTCGGAAAGAGCATTCCCCTCATTTGATTTTCAATCTTCTCCGAAATTCTCAGAATTTCGACGACAGCTCCCGCGGCTCTGCTACAGAGTATTCGCCACAAGAAAGCACCAAACGCGGTGAGGTACGGGACGAGGGTGAGGGGGGGGGGCTTAGGGGTCGAGAACCTTGAAACTAGGCGAAAAATGTCAGGTCGCGAGCGGAGACGGCCGCCATAAGGAAGCCGAGGATGACATGCTCAGGTCTGCTGGTGTTTGATCGATTGTTAGACGTCAGTGGCTGTCGGTTTTTGTCCGGAACCTGACTGATAGCGGATGATCTCCTCAACATCATGGAGGACGAGAACGCAGACTGTATGGGTCGGTCTGGAACTAAGGACCTAGATCGCTGTTCAGAAGGATTAGACCTACGAGATCCACAGGAGTTCAGTTTTCTGGTTTCAAAAAGTGTTCCTGATCGGAACAAGCATACTCCTCATATGTATCTGAGCATCTCAGGCAGGGCTGAAGTTTTGATATTTCTTCATGAATTCATCGAAAAAATATCAATTGCGGCGGAGCTTCGTTGTATCTGCTGCTGGTTAGGCGGGGGAGTATACGAAATGTCAGAGGACTAGATCAGGGTCGAAATAACGATGAGCCAGCATCAAAAAGCAGAGCTTGCTCTGTTTTCCCGCGGCCGGGTCGTGCCCTTAGCGCGGGCACTGCCGGGTCAGCCCGATGGCCGACCGGACGACAAAGCGAGCGAACGTTCGTTTGTAGGACACCTAACGTGGATGTTTGACATTCGTTAGTAACAAGCAAGCTTTCGTTTTTCGTCCATCTTTGCAGGGGCGTTCAGGCTCTACGACGTGGACAGTGATGGCTACATCACACGAGAAGAGATGTACAACATTGTGGACGCCATTTACCAAATGCTGGGGAGTCAAGCCAACAGCGACGAGGAGAGTCCCCGGGAGCGCGTCGACAAAATATTTGAGCAGCTCGATAAGGTGAGTCGATTAATCGATAGATTATTATTGAGCAGGTGACCTCACATTGCCCTCTGGGACTCCCAATCAGGGTCACGCAGCCCTCCCCCTCCCCTTCCCTTCCCTGAGCACCAAGTCGCTCCCAGTGAGTCCGATTCGGTGTCGCTGTGAGAACTGCGGACGAGACCTTCCAGATGAAACCTCCGAGATTCCGGAATCTTCCACGATCTATTCCGATGACACAAAATCATATCTATCTACATACATCAGCCGACATTTGGACAAGACGCTTTCCGGCGTACTGTCGCGAGCCTAAGCTCATAAACAATGAATGCCGGTTTTACGTCTCTGATTGCAGCGGCGGGCGGAGATTGCGATCTGAAAGTCCACAACAACGCGCTGGGAGTCCGAAGCGGAAACGCTGGACCCGAAAGATGGATCATTCGGGTCGATTCCGAAGTTCGTATGAAATTCCACACCTGGGTCCCGCATTTTCAAGAGTCCGAGGCGGGTCGAATTTCAACGCAAGAGCTTCTGTCAGTATGAAGTCGGTTCTTGGCGCGCCCTCGGATCGATGTCAACGCGCGACGCCTCACTCCGAATATCCCTTGAATTCATCCCGCGGCGCATGCTATCGCCGCGCGGAAGCGCTCGTCTGAGTCTCTCAGACGGCTTCGAAATTCCCGTATCGAGGCGTAGGCGGGGGGTAAGAGCGGGATCCTCAGCCTCTTCATCGTCCACGTCGACGAAAACTCGAGCGGTACGTCGCAGGTTCGAATCCAACAATCGCTCTCTCCCTCCGGAAATCTAGGACGGCTCCCCTCCGGATTTCGATGCCCGACCAAGGCAGTCTAGGGCCGTTGATCCTCTTGAAATCGGGGCAAAAGTGGCTAGGGAGTCAATGATGATTACGCTAGGAGGCGATCAGCCCTGGGTGTCTCTCTCCATTCCCTGAAGTGTCTATCAATGTTTTGCGACGTGATTCAAACGCAGGCAAGGAGCCCACCTCCGTCAATCAGAGTTTCAAACGTACATAGTGTCTGTCGAGGAGGGATCAGACGATGTCTACTGCTTCGACCTCAAACTGCTTCAATCCACGACCGGAGCGATCCGCGGGAATCTCGCACCTCACTTGAAAAGCTGATCCAAATAATATATACGGACACCGAAAATTTAGGAGATAATCTGAAAAGTAATGAAGTCTATCGCGGCGGAGATGATCGGTTCGCTTACTCGCCAGCCTCAGTCACAGCAGCGAAGGAGCTCCGTCAAATAAGAGCGGAGTCGTCAATCTGAGCCTTGGCTGGCTCGGTGTCGACATACGACAGCTGCGGAGTTTCCAGAAGTCGGGATGGATCCACTGAGCTCATGGAGGATGTTCCTCGTCAGAGCTTACGATCACTTCCCTCGGCTCTTCGGATGAAATTTGAGAGGAGCCACGGAGGAGAGACGACTCAGAAATAATCAGCTTTCGAGAGGTTCCTCATCCTAATCCCACGAGGGGCAATTCCGCCGTGAAGAGCTCCAAGCAGGCAATCGTTGCCTTCGTTCGCGTTGCCCATCGCCGAGAATCGGAATCTCATTTGGCATCGGACGAAACAAAGCTTCTCTGGTGATTGAAGAGCGCTTGGGCGAAAAATTACTTCTCTCGAAAGCTCGGATGTTTACAGCGTTACAAGGAGTTTCTTCCTGCTCCGAGCGGCTGCAAGTGTGAAGTCGGAAGGAAATTCTTGCGGCTCCTTTCGCTGTCTGACATCCCACAAGCCGCTCGCGGACCAAGTACGGAGCCGGGTCCCGCGTAAGCAAACCGCGGCGGCGTTTAAGGATCGAAGAAGAGCGCGCAGGATGGCGCCAGCAAAGTCGGCGTGTTCAGTTTCGAGAATCATTGAGGTGGGCCGCAGGTTCGGTCAAAGTCGCGTTGATGCGGCCGCCGCGCTGTCTGATGCTGTTTGCCGCATAAGCGTGGCTCTCTCCATCTTACCGCATCGACCTTGCACTGGTTCTTGATTGAACGATTCGACAAGAAGCGCCCCACTCGGAATGGAGTGCCTAGGCCGTTCCGAGATGAGCGCATGATTTGAAAACGATTCGACCGATCCTCTCTTCCTGAACTCGGCGTGATCCGATCGATCCACGATGGCGCTCTCCCCTCGGAGCACGATTCCCGATATTCGACGTAGAGAGGGGACCGAGTTTCCGCCGAGTTTCCGTAATCTCAGATCGATGTTGCATGAGAGATGGATGAGGCTATCACGGGAGGTGGTTGCGGGAAGGAAGAGCTCTAACCACTTGTTCTCTATCAATTTCAGAACCACGACAATCAGCTGACGTTGGATGAATTCAAAGAGGGATCTCGACAAGATCCGAAAATCGTACAGGCTCTTTCGCTGTATTCTGCTTAAGTCGTTGTTTTCACATCTGCACCGGCCCCCAATCGATCATCATGGAACGCATGGATACCGCAACTCCTTATTTATACGGTCGACGATAACAGCGAATCGCGTATCCATTAAACGCCTATGACCGAGAATTCCATGGTCGATCGTACCTACTATCGTTCGTCGACGCCGCTTTTCGTACTAGCGTTTCCGCAGAGAACTCTGACCGAGAGACGTGTTATTGTCGGAGACGCGCGTTGTCACGCCACGGGAATTCATTCACTTTTGCGGTAGCATCCTGGAGCTGTAGGTCCCATGCTCTGATCGCTCACTGAATTGGGTTAATCTCGGAACTTAGGAGCCGTCACGAAAGCAAGCGTGAATTCGAAGTGCTCCCAATCACGCTGAGGTCAACGTCACACCTACGAGAATAATTCCGATGTGACGCAGAGGCGCTCACCCCGTAGAAATACCTTTCAGGAATATTGCAAGCTGGGAAAGGCTTCGGGAGCATATTGCCTCCACACATATTAGTTAGGACTGGGAGTTCTCGACTCTGTTCGGGACATCGAAGAGCTTCGAGCGAGTGATGACAACTTACTACCGTTGATAGAATATAAGTTGTGAGGCGCGCGAGCGAAACGGAGTCTGGAATTCCGTGCGCCACCGGCCGCTCGACTCCGTGTTATCGGCAAGGTTATTCAGCGAATTCCCTTTTGAGGACTTCAGCCTCAAATCTTCTTTCGTAGCCTCCTTGCGAGGTCGGAGTCGGCCTCGAGTCGCGAGGACGACCTTAGCGTTTGATCGGCTCCATTCCTCTCTCGCTGCGGAGCTGTCCCCGATAACTCGCATCTTGCTATCGAACGAATCTTTACGTCTCTGAAACACCTCTAATTGAAGACGTGGATTGCGTGGAGAGAAAATATTGATTTTCGAGCGGGCTCGCACTAGTCCGTGAGACACGAGTAGTTCGGAGCCTCGTCCGCAAGAGCGACGGTGCGCCATGATGGAAGCTCCAGGGCCTTGATGCATTATCGACAACGACGGAATTCTTCACGAATTGATAATAATTATTCGGACGGTAAAGTCCCGAGCGACTGGTCAGTCTTTTTCCCGCAGAATAGAATCTGAGCGAAGTATTTTTCAAGTGATTCATCGAGCTTCGACTTGTAGATTAGATATCCTTATATGAAATATTTGTACACACAAACGAGAATGACGACGGTTATTATGTGTCGTCTTCGTATGGTGCGTAAGATAAATGAACCTTCTAATTGGACCCAGTTTTAAACCTAGAGGCGTCGCCAAGGCCGACGCGCCTCCGACTTATTTAGGGACGGAATCCAAAGACGCCACCAAGTTTTTGAGCAATCGAACGGCCACGGCGCGGCGAGGCTATCATAAGCTAACCCAGAGTACCTTCACATGAATTGAGAACTCCGGTCGGATAAGTCACTTTAAAATATCGCGTGAGGGAACTCTGAGAATGGCGTCGATTCGCATCTACCCAGAGAATCAGATTTTCCTCCGTAACGGTTCCTTGTGCGCAAAATTTCGGGGTGTAGTTAAGTGAGCCGGCGCTACTCCCTCGGAGGACGAAGGACGAAGATCAGAATCGATATAGGAATCCCATGTGAAGCTGAATCACCAAAGCGGGCCCCGGAACAATAAACATGATAAATTCTCCCGATCCCGACTAATCATTTCGACACTTCACGGAGCTGGGATCGGTTCCCTGAGTGAAACGCTGATACCGAACCCTGATGAAAATCTTAAGATGCACCGTCCGATTGATTGTGAGTGGAAAACAGGGAGAATAGGAGTCTTCGACTGGAATTTCGGAAGTCCACACTCGAGAGGCTCAGAGGTTGTTTTCGCTGGCTATTCCGAGCGCAGGGAGTATCTCGAATCGGATCTCTGAACAGCGTTCACTTCGAAGAGAAAAGTTACGACTTGCGATATCAGGGACAGACACGTACCTACTCTTCCGCAAGTCAGAAAGTTCATCTTTCCATAAAACAGAGTAAGGGCACAATATATATTTGTATTGCGCGAGTTGAAACGCAAGCAATTTCGCCGCCATGACATTGCCAGAAAACGTCCCCGATGGGTTTATATGATTCCCCCATCGAGGGCTATGATCAGCGATTTTGTCCTTTATGGCACACGTATCATGCCTCTTTCCGATCGTCGTTGATTTCTCCATCTACTGATATGAGCGAGTGCAGGCGCTGGCAATCAGAGAGGAGTCCGATCGTCTGTGCTCACTCCTCTAGTCCCCGATTCCTCGATTCAATATTTAAATGGAGGCTGAAAAGTTCCGGAAGAGGCTTCAGCCAAGATGTCGACTTCGCTGGGGAGAACACCAATCCAAACTTTGTCATAGTTGGCGTCCAAGAGGAATATTCGCGCCTCCGCCGGACCTCAACCTACTTTCAAGCGGTCGGCTCAGAGGCTTCCCGTTGCGGTGTTACCATTCCAACTCCGAATGAAGATTCCTGATGAGCAGAGCTGTGAGAGATCGGGTGGTTCCAGTGGCGTCTCATGTGCGGAGTTGGCCTGATTTCGGAGTGGCCGCTGGAGCCTGAAAGGATCGACGGTCAACTTTTCTATTCCCACCCGAGTTAAATGTTGAGCGCCCAAAATCACCTGTCTGAGGAGGCCCCGCCACTCCGGTGATACCCGGGCCTTCGGAGCTCGGTTGTTGACTCGAGACCAGAGAAGAAATTATAATAAATGAATGAAGCCTCAGCGACGTCGATATTGATTCCGAGCGCATTAAGGCCACCGGTAGACTCGGCTGCTCGATTCTCCCGTGAGCTTCGACCTCTCAACCGCCGGAGCAACGACTTGCTTCTTCGATCCGAGCTGCATATTATAGTCCGTCGACTTCGAGCCCCGACGTCGGAGCTGAAATTCTGTTTCCATGTTTTTTTGGTCAGTGGGATTCCGCTAGGCTCGAAGTCGAACTGAGTTGAACCGTATGCTCACACGGAACCAGGAGCGCCCTCTGAAGTATGATCCAGAAGCAACATCCGAAACGTGGACGAGGAGAGAGTTCCCTCGAAGGAAAGGGCTTTGACGCAGGAACCGAGGAACAGGGAACCGCAGAGGACGGTACAGGGTGGCCTAACTCCTCCTCAGGGCGTGGATAGGCTCCGCAGACCGCCGATCGTGGCATGATTCTCCGCTGCTCCGGAGTATTCGAATCCCAAGTCGCCAGCATGCTTCCGGGGCATCGGAAGGAACACCGGAGTCTGTTATTGGAAATGAAGCTCGAAAAATAGGTCCTCGTCATTGTCCTCGAACAGACATTGTCATTATCATTATCATCATCCGTTATCATTCAATATCATTATCACATTATCAGTATCATTCGAAACAGATGTCTAGGAAGTCCGGATCCATGGGAAAGGGGTGAAAAAATTCATAGACGGCGAGAAGGAGGCATACCAAGGCCATCGCTGTGAATGCTGGTGCCGGCTGTCCCTTCAGCGCAGAGCTGTCTCGACCTGAGCCCACTGAACTTGTATAGCCCGCATGCATAATGGGCACCATACCCAGCGATTCAGAAGTCAGCTCCTCCAGCGGAAATCCCGTACGCAAAAGCACCTGTTTGTTCTCCGGAGAGAATTTCAGCCCAGAACCTTTTCCACGTGGATGCAGGGAGACCAATGGGGAGCTCCGCTGCGGGAGGGGCTCTAGATATTGCATAAGCTTTCGGCCCCGTGTCAACATTTGAAGATTCAAACACGGTATCAATAATAATCAGAGTGCACGTGATTTCCAGTAGCGAATGGAATAAGGGGGAATCCCTTATGATCTCGATGTCCGCGATGCCCGCCGCTCTCGATCGAGCTCGCAATGTCTTCTGGCAGTTCCGTTTGTAGCGGGTACTTTCTCGCAGGGAGGTGCACTCCGACTGTCGGATTCAAAATTTGGCGCGCTCAAGTTTTGGGAGCGCCGACTTGCTCAGCCCTCCGACTTGGCGCTGTAGTATTCTACTCTACACACGGAACGACGACCGACGACAAACGTTAGCTGCTGGCTGCTGCTATTGCCGCCGCTGCTGCTGTTCGAGGAGAGTCGACTGGCTGTTGGTTTATTGGCTCTGACAGCCGTAGCACCACCAGCAACCGTCACGGCCTTAAACGGGCTTTCTATCTCTCTATCTATCTGTTGTGTTCGACATCCGACAATCTGACCAAGCGTTACAGAGAATTCGTCGTAGTGCAGTGCAGTGCAATCATTTGATATTTCTCCCACACGCTCCCGAAATCACCACCGAAACAATCGCTTTCTCGAACTTCCAGCAACATATACAGAATCAATAAACCATGTCGCTGAAACAACTTGTCGGTCAAAGTGAGTATCTCACAGAACAGCTGCTTTCGAATGTCGGCGAGAAACATCCTAGCTCCGCCAATCTTCTCTTGAACTGCCAGCGGAGAATTCATCTTGGAGCGTCAGCTGAGCAGGGCGCCCTTCCGAATCATTGTCGTCGAGTGTGGGAGTAGACGTCACGTTGAGGGGCGTAGAACTCGAGGAGATTTTGCTTCTCTTTCCTTCACACAATAAGAGATGCTCTCTTCAACTTACGGATATGGCTTAGGAGCGGTGGAAACCCCCTACCGCTCATGAAACCCGATCACCTTTTATTGTCTTTCTTCATCTGACACGTCTTTACGAATTTCTCCAAATCACACCCTCTGAGTGGTCGAATCGCCCCGCTCACAGGGAGCTCGTTCAAATGCGGGAACATGCCCAAGAATGTTAGATGGGAGCCGTCTGTCTGACTGACGTCATTCGGAGTTCTCAGACTGATTGCCCGTAGCTGTTTCGTAGTGTATTATATGAGTAGATATGTCTCCGAGTCCAACCCTGTTTGTCGCCTCGCGAGGAGGATGAAGAAATCCGTTTCGAGAAATATCATAGGGATCGAACTCATGGAGCTCGTCTCGCGGTTCCTACTATTTCTAAGCATTTCGCTTTCCAGAAATTTTGAACGACGTCGTACGAACGGTCCGGAAGAAGGGGGAGTGGAAAGTCCTGGTAGTAGACCAACTCGGTAAGAATCTCTCGCCAAGTCGTCATATTTTTGAGAGTCTTGGCGGGTTCGACTGGGGTTCGCAGCTTTCGATTCGCTATTAATGTCTCATTTAGATAGATTCCCCCAACGTTACCTCACATCTCCGATCTCTCTGCGGTGCCTTACAGGAATGCGCATGATAAGTGCGTGCTGCAAAATGCACGAATTGGCAGCGGAGGGCATGACCATCGTCGAGGATCTCGGCAAGAAAAGAGAACCTCTGCCCGATGTTGAGGCGGTTTACCTCATCACTCCTACGGAGAACTCAATCCGCCTCCTGATGAATGACTTCCGTCTGGGTATGCACATGTATCGGTGCGCTCACATCTTCTTTACCGAAAGTAAGTCCCGCACGCGACGGTTTCGACCATTCTGAGTTTCCATTTCGCGGCATCTTTCGACCGAAATTCCATGGAAGAGACTTTTTCTAACCGAGCTCACTGTCAATCCTTTCAGAGTGTCCCGACGAACTGTTCACCGATCTGTGTAAGTCGCCCATCGCAAAAAGCATCAAGACCCTGAAGGAAGTTAACATCGCGTTTCTGCCTTACGAGAGTCAAGTCTACTCACTTGACTCGGTGCGCACGTTCCAATGCTACTACAACCCCAACAAGATTGCGGAGAGGGCCGCGAACCTAGAACGGATCGCGGAGCAGGTCGCCACATTGTGTGCAACGCTCGGAGAATATCCATCGATTCGATACAGAGCGTGAGTCAAACAATCATCTAGATTTTCACGAATCTTCTCTCGGTCCTTAGCCCCTGACTCAGCTTCTAATAGCCCCGGAGGCCGACCTTCGGCCACTGCGGATTTTCAATATTGAGCGTACAATTGCCTTGTCCGGAGCCGTTCTCGAAACGCTCCGCGCAAAAAGTTCATGAACGTTCGCAAGGACACCGCAAGTCTGACTCATCGGCTTGGCTGCGACTGGATTAGACCGTAGCTGACTGAGCCGACGTCTCGGCCTCAAATCGTCGACTACGGATTAGAAAATGTTCTTGTCGTAGATGCGAGCAAGAAAGTGGGCGGAACGATGAGGTCGGGGAAATCTCTGATTGAACGCTCCAGGAATCGCTTGATTCGGCCGATCGACTTTCCGGCGTGGGCAATAATCGTCTCATCGCTCATTCCAGGGATTTCGAACTGAACTTAGAGCTTTCACAACTCATAAATCAGAAGCTTGATGCTTACAAAGCAGACGAACCGACTATGGGCGAAGGTCCGGAGAAGCTGCGCTCCCAACTGCTGATCCTGGACCGTGGGTTTGACTGTGTCTCCCCCTTGTTGCACGAACTAACCTTCCAGGCTATGGCCTACGATCTGCTCCCCATTGAAAACGATGTCTACAAGTTCGAAGCGGCAACAGGCAACGATGTCCGCGAGAAAGAAGTGAGTTCTTCCGCATCTCGAGAGCACTCCAAGCGCTCGTCCCGATCGTTCCGGAAAGGTTGCGATCGCAATCTCCGCGGAGTCTCAACGAATTTTCTCGTTTTCAGGTCTTGCTAGACGAGAACGATGACTTGTGGGTCGAGCTGCGCCATCAGCATATTGCCGTCGTGTCACAACAAGTCACAAAACAGATGAAGAAGTTCGTCGAATCGAAAAGAATGGCAACTGGCGGCGGAGACAAGTCAAGCCTTAAGGATTTAACGATGATGATCAAGAAAATGCCGCAGTACCAAAAAGAGCTGAACAAGTATTCCACTCAACTCCATCTGGCCGAGGATTGCATGAAATCCTATCAGGGATATGTTGACAGGCTCTGCAAGGTATTTATCCGCTAGGATCCAAAGGATTCCCATGCATCAAATGTCGTCGGATCATTGGATGGCTTCGAGTAAATTGCCACGAACATCTTCTTCATTCAGGTCGAACAAGATCTGGCTATGGGCACGGATGCCGAAGGCGAGAAGATCAAGGACCCGATGCGGAACATCGTGCCCATCCTGTTGGATACAGCCGTAACCAATTACGACAAGATCCGTATCATTCTACTCTACATTCTCAGCAAGAATGGAATCTCGGAGGAGAACCTCTCCAAGCTGATCCAGCATGCACAGATCCCACCATCAGAGAAAGGCATAATCACGAACATGGCACATTTGGGAGTCAATATTGTCACCGATGTAAGTGTTGAGCATTAGAGCATTGGTCGTCATGCTGGAGTCAAATAGAAAATTTAGTCGAAGAGCCCATTCAGACTTCGGGGACCTCCAATTCTAATTCCATATTCCCTCGCCGTCCGGGATCGTTATCGTTATTATATTTATTACGTCATAATTGATAACAAGCGTAGGTTTTCATATTTTGTTCGAATGTTATGCACAAACATTTTTTCTCTCGCGGGGTTTTGAAGTCATCGAATCATTGGAGTGAACCGTCATTGGAAGAAAAAATCGTAGGTCAAAAACACTTTGTGGGAGTTGCTTTCGGGGCGGGTTGCGGCACGGACTATTGACCCGGAGTGTTTCACCCCATCGCTGGTAATAGCTTCGCCCTAACAACTGGTGTCGGTGTCTCGTGAGGACTTGCCCGCCTTCAATCTGACGCCTTCATCTTCTGCAGAGTGGCCGCAAGAAGATACACCAAGCTCACCGAAAAGAACGGATCACAGAGCAAACATACCAGATGTCTCGGTGGACTCCTATCATGAAGGACATTATTGAGGTAGGACAAGAGTTTTTCCAGTCAGACGGCGAAAATCCGGAAGCTCCGCGAAACGATCGATTGTTTCATCCCGGTCGACTTGACGCTCGACCAGTCTCTGACGGATGCGGTTGAAATTCCAGGATGCCATTGAGGATAAATTAGATCAAAAGCACTACCCATACGTAGGCCGTCGCGACGGCGGGTATGCTCGTGCGGCTCCCACCTCACAGCGCTACGGTCAATGGCATAAGGACCGAAATCAACAAGCGAACCTGAAGAACGTACCGAGGCTCATCGTCTTCATCATCGGTGAGAATGCCGTGCCATCGACGCACTCCATACAGCTGGCAGAAAATAATGATTAGGCAGGACGTACTGAGAATGTGTGCACACGCGGTGACTTAACATTTAACGCTCATCCCTTCAGGGGGCGTTACGTATTCCGAGATGCGTGCAGCGTACGAGGTAACGAGGGATGCCAAAAACTGGGAAGTGATTGTCGGCTCGGACCACGTCGTCACTCCGGAAGGATTCCTCTCTGACTTACGAGACATCACCAACAACTAGAAGAGCCGCAGGGCAGGCGCAGATTAGGCCTGTGCGATGCATCTCACGATCAGCCTTCAGAAACATAGAAACGATAGACGATGAGGCGGTTCAATATACTCACGCCGCTTGCGAAGCTTTTATCCATTTTGATAGTTCCATCATCGACTGACTTCGGAAAGTGCCACGATCACCTAGATGCTGCTCAGCCTCGTCCACGAAGAGACTTTCGTGGTCGAAAATCGTCATGATTATCAATCCATTCGATGACTTCGTCATCCGAAGAGGGATCGCCACGGTCCCTAGACGATTAGTCGGAATCTAGGGAGCACTTGGAGGCAGAAATGCGAACTTCGGTCGAGACTGAGCTTACGCACTGCTCGCGCCGGAATTGAGTATTCGCTTGAGCAATATCTTCTATCAACGTTAACAAGTTTCACGACAACGCATCCTTTCGGACATTGAACCGAGTAGCGCAGCAGCGATCGGTTCTAATCGCCTCGTTATCGAGCGGACTCGGAACTGCACGGCTTGCTTCGATGTACAGAAGTTTTCGCGCGGCAATCAGCCGATGAGAACTCTGGATTATTCTCGGATGAACTTTCATCAGCTTGCCTTGGATATATTTATTGTGTACGACAGAAAACACCGGGACTTCTCGATAACATAGCGCGAGCGGTGTTTCCTGAGTCTCTCGACTACATGAACGGAATCAGCCTTTGATCGTGTTAAGAATCGTGAACCAAGCGATCGGAGGGTGCTTCTGATCTCGTACCTGCCCCGGATCGGGCGGGGAAAAACGATTTCCCGAGCTCGTATCGGCACGACTCCTCGATCGAAGAGCCCTGTTGGAATGGAAAGTATTTTTTTGCGTTTCTAACGCCTACCCGATTGTTTGATTAATTGGTTGATTCATTGATTTCATCATTGATATAATGATCCCTTGAACCTGGACGCGTCGCTCCGACAGTCCAGACATGGGGAGCTCGATGACATTCCTGACTGTTTTCTAACCGTGTTTCGTATTCAAATCAATCTACACATCGATGACGTTCCCCCGAATGCGCGAATCGAAGCACTCTTCTGGAATCAATTCCACGCAGTAATGTTTTCGCTGCTAGCTGCTATTGCTCTCTTGCCGACAAGATATTCCCAGATGGTTCAGGCAGGCAGAGTGAGATTTGATATCGTTTTCTCTATGAGAGGTTTCGCGAGAGTGTTGAGAGAGGCACACAGAGAGAGTGTATACTTCGAAAAGTATAACTCTCGGATAGTTTATCTTCAGCTCCCTCTTGTACATTCGCTGCGAATCGTATGCATCACAATTCTACCGAGTTCTGATACTTCGACAGACAACAATCACTGCTGGAATCGCTGCGACGATATAACGTCAACTACCACGGAGACAGTATCGACCGGTGTAGGTGCAGCAATCTCGAGTTTTTAGCTCGGGTCGATAACGGCGCCGTGGCTACTCATTATAGAAGTTGTGAGACATTTTCAGTTCCTTGTAGTCGGCGATCCGGTTGAGAGAATCGCGACCGAGCGAGCAGAGGGACGGACCGATCTTAAGAATTGGTCTCGAGGCTCGCTCTCATCCTGTGTTGGCTTCGCCGGTCGACTAAAAGTCGTATTTGTTGTTCGACGTTTTGTAGATGTTCGATTTTATTGATGGGTTCTTGTTGTCGGTCTGCCTCCACCACGCTGCCGAGGGCGGTCGATTACACTCTCGAACGGGTTTGAAACGATCCCGTCCTCGTCGGCAAGCGTGAGGTCGGCGTTGTTTCGGCGCGAGTCTGCTGTTTCTTTTCTCAAGAGTATCAGTCAACGCAGGCGAAGCTTCATTCTTGACAGGTGATCTTCCCGTCGAATCCCATCGCCCGTTGCGTTAGCCGTTCCGTTCGCAAGCAGTCGAACGTAGGGAACCCCGCGCGAATCCCGACCGTGGTTCATTCAGTAGCTGGGGGAACTAATCAGAACGGATAAGGGGCCTCAGTGACCGACCACTGCCTTTTGATAGAAAAGACGGACGGCTCGCGGGCGATGCGATTTGTTTCTCATGAGATTTATTCCTAATCATCTTCACTTTCAAAACATCATCGAAATGCGGAAAAACCCCTCAGAAAGGTATAATTATAAGATGCACACCCCCATCATGCAGAAGGGCGCGCATACGACCTCTGAAAATTATCCAAGGCATCAGATGCAAACAGTGAGAAAGATGCGCGAAAAACATGGTTTACCGCAGACCCGCCGAAGGAGGTACATTCCGAAAAGAAGGAGGTGAAGCGAGCTGTCAAGAGACAATGTCGAAAATTCGGAACTAAGGCATAGATCGGCACTTATAGTTTCTTTAGCCTTCAGACATATATGCCGATTGAACGGAAAGCAACGTGTAAAAGCGAGCATTGGAGACGTCCGACCTCCGGCGCCAACCCGCAGTGGTTTTGCCAAAGGGACACTTATCGACAAATCAACAACACCATCATCAAGAACAACAACACGGTGGAGACCATCGACCAAAACTGAAGCTGAACATTAGTTTATAGTCTCTTGTAGCCTACCGCTACTCACAGTCGGTGGCTTAGCTAGTCCAGCGCTCGCGCCCAATCCACACGGGCGCATTTCGGTCATCCCGACCCTCTCCATTATCCGGACTTTTTACCATCATGTTTGTCTATCCCGAATGGCGACCGTAAACGCGCCCCTCGGATCGGGCGGAGCAGTAGCTAGGACGCTTGTGGACGACATGGGTTCCCGCCGTAAATTTTCCGTCGTCCTCTTTCTCTCCCGTACAACCAACCACAACCACCACCTTGTACTCCTAACAACAAGAGAAATCCAGACATCGATAAACACGTTATCAGAGAACATCGCGCTATCGATACAATGATGCTCTCAGAGAGAGGCTCGACGAAGGGCTACCACTGAAAGGTCGGTGAACAGAACTTACCATCACAATCCGGCGCTGGCGGAACGACGTCGCCAACGAACCTCAAGAAAACCGTAGTGAGCGATGGATCGCTCATAGATTCCGTAGAGATCACCGAGAAGGGCTACGATTGCAATTCGAACATCCGAAAATGATTCGAAAGAATAAAAAAACATCAACTACTCTAGCTCCTTATCACCTGTCTGTTCCTTCTTTATGGGTAGCTCGGAGGAGAAGAGCCGCAGTATCCACACCACCGAAAAGAACCCGTGCCGAAAGTGCGAAATTATTCCTTCGGAGAACACCGACATATTCTCGGTCTGGAGCTTCGTTCGGAACTAGAAGTCTATCGTGCTCTCTCAAGGAAATGTTCACGCTCTGGGAACGATGATGGAGATTCTTATTCCTGCTCCGCATACAGACACTCCGTTGTCCTGGTCGATCGATTTGTCGGCTCGTCCCGCGCTCGTTATCGCCTTTCATGGTCTCAACGGACGAATCGGAATCGAATCTGCGAGTTTTGGAAGCACCACTTGCGAGAGGTCTCATGGACGAGGAGACGCAGACGAGTTCTCTGGGGACCGAATCAGGTCGACTCTCAACAAAGTTCTTGACGCAGGCTCCGGGCGAATCCAGAATCATGCATGGAGTTCCGACCATACACTCCATAGATTGAGGAGTGGGATATTGACAGGCAGCTGACCGGTGGGGCTGTGTACTCTACATTCGCGAATCAAAATTCGCAGGACAAGGCATAGACGTATTCGGGCTTCGCCTCAAGGGAAAGTCGCACGATGATCCAAATGACGGTCCATATCCAGGTGCTATGAACGGATCCATACCTCCTGGATTTACTCTAGGTGTTACCCGTTGAGAAGTAAAACGAGAAGTCACGGTCACAGAGCAATAAAATTTTATTCACTCCTTCTTGACAGGGCTGACCTTCGCGGCCTTCTTCTGAGCCTTGATCAGGGCGGTGGCACGTCTCTTGAGTGTCAAAGACAGGTCAGAACGTCCGTAGGCCTTGGAGATACCTGCAACGAGATTCTTCTTCATGTAGCTCTCGATGACGAGAAATGATTCAGAGGCTCGAGCGAGTGCGCCGGAAGCCCCGAGCGGGACCCCGCGGGGACTCAACTCAGACTTCGGGGATACATCGAGAACGAAAGGGAAACGATTGCGGAGCCGAGGACGTGAGGGCCCCCGAATAGGGAAAAATTAGGGAGATCCTTGAAATCTCTCACCGTTGATGGCCTTGTTGATCCTCCTCATGTGCTTGGTCAAAGGGATCTGCTGGAGGGATTTTGAGGGCCTGTTCAGCTTGAAGTTCTTGGTTTTCGCAACCAGGACGACACCCTTTCCCTTGGGGTTTGCCGCGACGGTAAGAGCTTTTTTCTGAGAAAGTCCCGAGAACTTCCTGACGTGCACATTCTTCGGGTTTAGGGGATCAGTCGAGAACCACTTGGAGCACTGAGGCTTCTTGACGATGTGGCACGATTGAACGCGCATGATCTGCCAACAGAGGTCCGCCGAAGCCATCTTTCCCTTTTGTACTGCTGCTGAAATTGATGTGGATATGAGGCTCAGGCGTCGATAGCGATCTGATTGATGGAGTGGCTCGGAGGGGTGGAGTATATCTGAGGACCCATGCCGGACCTCGAAAACTTCTCGGGGAAGAGCGAAACTAGCTGTTCGCTCCTAATTCAAAGAAAGGGAGACGGACCGAGGTCCGGCCAAGCTCCGCTCCGAAAGTCCCAGCATCGATTCCCAGGACATCTCGACCCGTTCTCGGAACATCGAATTCTGCGCGACAAGGGCGCGCCTCCCGAAAGCGATTCATGCGGGATTCATTGACAGCATGGAGTGCACGGTGGAACGCGTAATAACCGTTGTGCTCTTGGTTTTCCTTGTAAGCACATTGAACGGACAATAGAACATGCCGGGAATCCCGCGCCTGTTGGGGCTATTCGGGTCAGCCTCACGCGAATCGCTCGACTCCAAGTTAGGGCCGAAGCTAGGACTCACAGATAGAGCCTTAAAATATCACGATTTGGATTATATTCACGGGAAATATTAATAAAATTGTTACACACGTGTACGAGAGCCGACGAGCAGACACCGAAAAGACCCACTGAGCCTTGTTTTTCGGTGATGGCGGACCATTTCGTACCACAAATATTGATCCCGTACCAGAATAGTCCCACGCGGGAAATTCGAATCCAAGCTCGTGACAATGTTCCGATCCGGAACGAGACCGTGGATTCAACCTTCGCAAGCAGCCGGTAATCGATAAATGTGCATGATGAGTTCCCCTCGACCCTATAATAAGCTCTAGTCAGATAAAAGTCCAGAGATCTGATTTTGAGGCGCGAGTCCCCATGCCGACGCGCGCAGAGTGAATCATGTTCGCAATTTCCTATGCATTAACAGCGAGACAATATGAAAATGTTGAGGTATGCATGGAAGGCCAAAGAACTGCCACAGTCGGGATCGTTCGAACAATGCCGAAGGGTTAGCGGCTCCTCAGCAGGAAGTAATCGCTGAAGCGCGGAATCTGACTACCAGATTCGAGACGGGTCGCGTCGCATCCGAGTTTGATCCGACGATTCTCCGTCTCGGCATTCGGCTCGACTTGCAGGTTACAGGCCTGTGGCCCGCACTAACAAGTTGCGGATTTTCTCAGGCGGCGTCCCGCAATTCAACAGGCGAATGACTCATGCCAGGAGGGCGACTGTCTCAGCTTCGAGAAGAGGGAACCCTTCCTCCTGCATTTGCTGCGATTTGTCGTTTGTGAATGCGTATCGAAGCGGATAAATCACCCTCGACGACGATGAGGGACCCTCTCGACGTCTGAAGCGATTGAGGAAGATATCCGATGGGAATCGAAGCAACCTACATAAACTGCCGTTGGGTACCGGATTCCTCAGGCACTGCGGAGGCATCGTTCGGAGCTTTCGAAGGTTCCCTGGAGTGCCTCGCCGGACAGACGATAGGTGGAAGCGAGACCTCCAGCTTGGAGGAGTATTTTCTAGATTGCGTTTCCACCGAAAATTCAGCCGATGGCATTGGGGATCAAGTCATGCCGATCGATACGAGTTAATAAAAGTCTCTCAGAGGCTCGCAGATCTCCAGGCTGAACATTTTCCGAGTTGTGGAACTATATCTCAGTGGTTTTGGGTCTAGGATCGGAACATATCAGCTGTCATGTCCTGATCTGATGGCATCCTTGTGACAGGTTCGTGGCATGTCAGCAATCGTCAGATGCTCCTGTCGTGTTGTACGAGGAATGGCCGAATAACCGTGCGCTCCCGTGAATGTTGGATACTTGCTAAGCTAGGGGTCGCCACTGTCCAGGCGCGCGCCCTGGTGAGCATTTCCGAAGCTACGTTTGAAGTGACAAGCGCGGAGTCAGATTCAGTCTTGACACAACAGCCGGCGGGAGTGGTGCATCGCAAAAGTCGCGAAACCGAATCACGCGTGTTGCGTGGTGGCCGAGCGAGCGAGATTCAGAGCCGAGTGTCGGTGGTCTCGCCTATCTCTGTGACCCTCGATCTCTGTTTCACGGAAGGTGGACTTCCGAAGAACTAGGTAGACATGTTGCTGCTGTCATCAATGCTCTCCATGATTGTGGCGGGAGCTACCGTTAACCGGAGTTTACCGAACAATCCATACGAAGGTCTCAAATGCCATTATGCGGTGAGTCCCAAATTTTCTACCAACCTACACTCCAGACGTCAAACGACAGGTCCCAGAATTCCCTCTCGAGCACTGGATGTTCTCTGCGTTCTCCGATTGGAGATTCCGTAAACTAAGTGGCGGAGGCACGATTCTTCGAAGACTTTTTTGGGGGGATCATTCGAAGTTTTCTTCGTTTTCACGAACGTGGATATCAAATCAGCTGATCGAATAGCGTCAGTGCCGAGCAAACAAGATCGTTCGTCCCGCAGTGAACCGGTGTACACAAGTCTTCGGACTACGAAGCAACAAGTGTCAATCATGCATAGGCTTCTCACGGATATTCCAGGGCTGGCGTATTCAGTCGGGAGTCAGAAATCGAGTCATAAGTCGGGGGTCGCAGTTCAGCCCTCGAATTCATATCCAGAAATACTTCTCAGCGATATCGAATGGCTTTTCGGACTTGATCCCATAAACGTTCTTGTTTGCGCTCTCATCGCCATCCACAATGTCTCTCGAGTTTATAACCCCTACGGCTCATGTCTGTGAGAACGAACGATCACATACTCGCGGAATCTACCAAATGCTCCTAGTAGAAGCGTAGCGCCAAGGTGCCAGCGATATGAGGGCAAGTAATTCTCCCCGCTCGGTCCCGAGACTCCCCTCTCTAAACACTGTCGCGACCCGGATCGTCCGTTCAGCTCATCAAGTCAAGTTTCCCACTATTATCCGAAAGCGAAGTCCTCCATGTCGGATTGTGTCTCCCTTCAGACTGAAAATTCCCCAAACGAGTGCGCACTCTACGGATTGAAAGGCGATGATGGTCTCGTTTTCTACGAGCGTCGTCACACCGAAGGTGTTGGCGTGGTGCCTGTTCGTTCTCCAAAGTCGTTTCCCAGTTGAATCTATCCAGAGAAGAATGCTGTCGGTATTCATTCCAACGATGAAGCAGAATTACACAGCTACGGTCGATGATCGAACAAGAAGGTAATTCCAATGAGCTATTCTCCCTCGACCACTCAAAGGAGGGGCTGTGATGTGGTCGAAAACGCTTGTCGTCAAGGCCGACTTGGCACAAACATATCTGATCTTCAGCGGCAAGCCGTGCTATCCAAATCTCGCCCATTGAAGGGAGTCATGTCTTTGTTAGGGCTGCCTTTTGACATTTCTAAGGGAGCAGTGTTGCTCCACATGAACAACCAAGTGGTTAGCCGACTCCGGTCGTGTAGTCTCATCGCTGTCAAGCGAAAATGATCAACTTCCGTCTTCCGACGCCACTACAGCTTCGAGCAAGATCTCTCGTTACGGAGCGAATGATTTTCTGATGCTTCGGTCACATTTGCCATGAGCGCAACCAAGGCGTCGGAAATCAGAGGGAATCCCTGGAAAAGCGCTGGGTCGTTCCCATTGCTATGTGTTGCACCGGGATCGAATCGAGCGGGTCCCGAGCTCCCCGATCATCTGGAATCGAGATACACCTCACCCCAGCTCGGAATCCACGCAGCAGGAAAGGATGAGTGAATGAATAATCATCGCTCATCATCAGCACGCTATCCGTATGAATGCAGCTCTCAACAAGAGCGGAATATCTGCGTCTCGAGTCCCTCCTGGATGGAGAACGGTTCAGGAGGGTTCAGATCGAGTCAAGATCACTGTCTCATGGAGGAAAATGTGGATGCTGTTCTCAACGCCATGAGACGCGTATGTGCCACTTCCGGGAGGTAGTCGAACGTTTTTCTAGACAAGGTATTGCAGAGATTCCTGCCGCGCCCCAGGTTCTCTCAGCACCCTGCGCTTTGCGAGTGTGCGTGACTCATGATCATTGATGTTCCTCAATCATGGAAACCGTCGTTCATCCGACCAGAATTTCCGTCATTCCCTCCAAGTTCGGAGCACTCGCAATTCTCTGAAAAGTCCCCAACTCTCAGCAGAATGTCCGCTCTGGAAATTTACCGCGCCGGATGATGACTCGAGACAATCCGCGAGCTCCGTGGAATAGCTAGAAAGGGAAATGATAGAAACTGATATTAGAGTGAGTAGCGCTTCAGAAAACTACTCAAACGATTATTATGGGCGAAGAGCTGATCGGTGAATTCTTCCACCAGTCGCCGGCGGTCAAGTTCAAGAGAGAAGTACGCTAACAAATCCAAGCAAAGACGACTCCAGTCCAACTCTATGCAGATAGAGGGAGAAATCACGGTCCGCCGAATAGAACGAAGCGAGGCATTCCGAATAATACGGAAGGCTGATGGGATTCCTCGCGAGGGGCGTGTCCTGGATTTATAAAAACCGAATTCTTCACGATACATCTTCCGTGTATCGGAGGTATCGAGACACTTCCCGATGATCATTGAAAGTTCTAACGGACTAATCACAGTCGATATCGCGTTCAGAGAGATTCGTTCCTGATGGGATGTCAGCGATCTCAGACCATCATCGGCTTGTAGATATCTGATGAATCGGTGTGGCGAGATATTGCGGAGTCCTCACCGGGAACGGATTTCAATGCGAGGAGAAACGTGTTCGAACAAGAAGGTAGCTTCAAGAAGGTGGTTCGCTCGATGCCAAAATGCCTTCTGCGTACCATGGTGGAAAGAATGGCGTGGGCGGCTCACCTCCGCTTACGAGGAGAAAAGCTCCGATTCAGACGGGGAGTCCCGACCCGAAGATGGAACGCGAAAGGTACAACGAGAATATCTCCGAGGCAGGGATAACGTATCGAGCGCTCGTGATTCACGACAAATCGCAAATCAGCGCCGCGCCGTCGGTCGCCGAGTGCCATCGTTAGTCCCACCCTGATTCATTAGCGGGTGTAGAAATCCGAGATATGACCGTATTCGACACATATGTGACAACTCGCAGGAGTCCTGCCAATACGCGGAACGAGGGGGATACGAGCCGACTCATCAAGTGTCTCCTATCGATTACGGTACGAATTCTCGAATCGCTTCCTCCATTTGACATACTTCGACGAGAGCTCTCCAAGGAATCGAACACTTCTTCCCTTCTCCAATCCCGAGCTGAAAACGCGTCTCGTTCCGAGCTGCTCGGATCCACCTTTCGAGCTGCCAGGCGGGTAGTAGATCTCTGGGGCTTCAGATCATTTCTGGAAAAAAAGTGGAGCAGGAAAAAACTTGTCAGAACGAAGAGACCGCTCGCTTTTTTCGCCATGGGCAATTCGGATCAAATCTGAATTTGCCATTCTGAAACCGCATTACCAGTTGTAGTCAGACCACGCAATGTCACGCAACTCTGCGATGGATCGATATCACGTTTCATGCTCCATGGTCGGAGGAAATCGATAATACGATCCCTTTTAAATCGCTATAAGAACTCTTTTGACAAGGGATCAACGGGTCAGAGCGGATAGCGTTTCCCCCGGCGAGGAGCTTTTGAGTGTTGTGCTTGAATTGGTCTATGTTTTCTCCACCAAAGCCTAGCACTTCAGAAAATCCGCATACCTCTATCGTCGAGGTAACCGGCAGATGGAATATCGTCGAACGTCGACTGCCTCACATGGCGTCCCCTACTTTTTCCGTGATCGATCCGGTGATGGTGCCTCGTTGCTCGCTTCCTCTTGCTTTCGTGGGCGAAGAGCAGCAAGCTGATTGCAACAGTGAACAGTGGTCTTAGCCTATTCCCGGAGAGGAGGCTACTTTGTTTCCGTTAGGAAGTGAGGTATAGCCTTCATCAAGGCCGATACTTCGCTTACGCCATGCATTGAAGATGAAGTTTTTGTTTCGTCTTCGTTTCACGCTTGACGTCCGCCTGCTGTCGTTGGTGCGTCTCTTAGCTTCAACGACGCCGATGTCGTTTTCATTGTGGTCACGAACGTTACCCAGTTGAGCAGTTCCGATTATCGCGATGCGTATCTCAGGACAAGCCGAGATACATGCCGACGGCGGTGACGTTCTGTCGTCTCGATTCGGGGTCTCGTTTTGGATATTTCTGATGATGCTCCTCCTGCTGCCGTTGTTGTCGTCGGTGGCGGTGCATCTAGTAAAAGGGTCGATGACCCATTCTGCGAACCTTCTGGCGAATCTTCTATTCCTCCTGCCGTTTCTGGTACTGGCCATCTTTCGTATAACGGGCAAGCGGCCTGGTCTCTCGTTCAGTGGTGTTGTCGCTAGAGTTCGCTCCGAGTGAGGAACGCAACCGGGAGCTCCAGAATTATTCAGCATGACAATCGAGCGGGAACGACTGAGGCGGCGAACTTGACGACTGCTCCGCGCATCGACCGCATCCGACGTGGAGCAAGGAACGGTGCGAGATGATTAATGCTCTGATCTCTGCCGAAATCATCTTTATTGACCGTCGTCGACCGGACGATGCATCTTAGCGTTGAATGAACGCCACGGCTGAGCACGGGTGAGCGTCGGTCGTGGATCAATCCCATCGGCAATAGACGCTTTCTGAGGGCAGAAGAAATTCAAATCCCTGCGGGTATCCGCCGCTTCCGAATGCTCTGATTCCATCCCTTTCGGTTCCCCCGAACTAAACAGAGGCTCGTATCTGTGACCCTTTGCAACTCGGGGAGGTCTTCGTCACATCGTCGAAAAAATCATAAGTCACCCTACCGATGCATAAAACGCTACGACTCACTGTTGGCATGCCTCGAAAAAGTTGAATTCGAACGTCAAAGCATGTTGTCGTTGAACTGTTGTTTTTTTGCGGGTTTGAGCGGTTGAGGCGTGAAGTTCGCTCGTGATTCGCCCACCGATGAGCACCGCGATCGGGACTTCGATCGCTTTCGACCCGGCAGAGTTCGTGCCTCGTGTGTTTGGACGAAGCAAAAGTTTGGCAAACAGATGATGTTCGACTGAGTGATAGTTTCAGGAAGCTTCAGCCATCGGCTCCGATATTCGCTTCGAGAGGATAAAATGCGAGCGGGCTTCTGTGGGCAGCCGGAGTCAGAATTAGAGCCTTCCACCTACATATGTATATCGAATTTGTATTTCATTGACGACCGGAACTACGCAGGTGCGGAGGGATGCCATCGACTGCATGACGCTCCGTAGAGA